AGATTGCTTTTGAGCATTTTTCAGAAGATGACTGCCAACTTGTGGGCAGTCTTTGGCTCTTTTATTAAAAATACTGTACTTAAATCCTGTTAGCAACCACTGAGATCAAAATGGTTGTCAACACAAACAAGTAGGCAGTGTTCTTGGAAAGAAGCACTGTAAGCCCACATGAAAGAAAACTATGCCCTTTACAACTATGCTCATTTTTGTACCTCTTTTTTTTTTTCCTGAGGATGTGTACTTCCAAATTTCCTATGAATGAATTTCTTTTCTGAAGCACAGAAGGAAGATAAATTAGAGTATTTGTTATTATTCAGTTTACTTCATTTTAAAAGTGGAATCAAGGATTTATTTTGTAAAAGTAAGGATTTAGAGAAAGAATAATGAGCCAAGTTCTTCAAATCATTTTACTGTCAAGTAAGGATTTTTAAATCAAATCAAATCTTCACATCATTTTTTCTATCAAGGAAGGATTTTTAAAACCAGTTCTTGATGAAAATTAAAAGTTTTTTTTTAAAAGAAAAATCTACCATTTGTTAAAGACAGACTTGAGTGAGGCCTGAACCAGCTTCAGTGTTGAGATGAAATGAGGCACTTATTGATAAGTAATCTGATCATTAACAAAATGAGGTTTAGTTAGTCATAGCCTAGAAAGGATATTCAACAAGGCTATTCCAGCACTTAGCTGGGGTAGACATAGCCCTGTCTGGACTGCAGAGGAGGGCAGGGTAATTTCCAGAATGTTGAGAAATTGGATGATTCTGAAGGGCCCAAACTACATGTGGATGGCTCTTTGCTGTCCTTAGGTAACCAGGAAACCACATCAAAATGTCCACAGGCTAACAGGAAATTCCATTAGTCAGGTGTAGATTGGGCCTTGTCCCAGGGCCAATTAATTCCTGTGGATAGCTTTGTCACTTTTCAGGGGAAAAAGGCTAAGGGAGGTTGGGTAAGAAGGGGAAACCCTGATCCTATCACACCATCATTTGAAGAAAATCACCACTAAAATTCCTTTTTACAATAAAAGTACAAATGTGTATCTCTTGGATTGTAGCTGTATGGCTGCAAGGACCCTTTTAATGCAGTGCCCTCATGATGAGGATAGTGAGGCCCACCGAAGTTAAGTAGCAAGTGGCAGAGGCAAAACTTTGCTTTTGTAGATTTCCTGATTCCGTAGTCCATATAAATCAATATCAGTATGAATCAATAAAAATTTATTAAGGGCCTGTTATGTGCCAGGCACTGTACTAAGCACTGGGGAGAAAAAAAGAGGCAAAAGACAGACCCTGCCTTAAAGGAACTTACATTCTAATGGGGGAGACAACATGCCAACAAATACATACAAAGTAAGCATAAAATAGGATAAATAAGAGATAATTAACAGAGGGAAGGCCCTGAAATCAAGAGGGGTTAGGGAAGGCTTCCTGTAAATGGTGAGATTTTAGTTGGGACTTAGAGGTCAGTAATTAGAGCAGAGGAGGGAAAGCATTCCAGGCCTGGGGGACAGCCAGAGAGAATGCCTGGAGCTGAGACACAGAGTACATTGTTCGTGGAACAGCCATGATGTCAGGGTGGCTAGATTGAGGAGTTTGGGGCAGGGAGTAAGTTGTAGGGTGACTTGAAAGGTAGGAGGACTACGTTATGAAGGGCTTTGAAGACCAAACAGAGCATTTTATATTTGATCCTAGAAGCAATAGAGAGCCCTGGAGTTTATTCAGTAGAGGTGTGACATGATCGGACCTGTGCATTAGGAAAATCACGTGGGCTAAATGGAAGATGGATTAGAATTGGGAGAGACCATATGTCTGTAAGTGATCTGAAGGCTCTTTGGTAATCTGAGGCCGGGCCAAAGGGGAAGGGGCTGATCGCACAGATCTTTGACACAAGAAGTAGGGGGTGGTCATTAAGCCTGAATCATCCTTTCCAGACACTGAACTTTTTACATAATGAAGTTTGTAGAAAGGGCGTCTTAGTTGGCGACAGAGCCCAGAACAAAGTAGTAGCAGCAGCCAAGTGATTAATTTTGTGGAAGGGGAAAAAAGAAAGTACTTTTCCCTCAGCATTTCAGGCAGGCACTTCGACCTCTAGAAAATGAATGGTAGAATGAAGCTTGTTAGTCAATTATTTGTACATTTTCTTCTGATGATTGCTTTGGTAGGAAAGTACAAATTCATTTTTCTTCCTTAGATTCTAAGCAGTTTGGTATTATAATGTAGAGAGTATTAGATTTAACCAAGGAAGTTCTGAATTCTAACCCCAGATCATCTGCTCCTAGTTACCAGTATAACCTACCTAGATCACTTACCCTTTGAACTCATCTGTAAAATTAGGGGGTTGGACAAGGTGATCTTTAAGGTCCTGCCTAGCCCTAACATTCTATGGTTCTCTTGATATCACAAAGTAAACCATATTTTTTTATTACTTTTTTTTTCTCTTGAACTACAGCAATGGGAAAAAAAATCACAAAACAGCAATTCCTACACCTTGTACAAATCTGATCAATGGCTATTAAATGAATGAATTAGTGACTGGACCTGTGATTTCAGCAATTTGTGGAACTCCCAGATGAGGAAATTCTTTCCACCAATACGTATTAGCTACTGCTCTGCAACTTACAGTCTTTTTTTTTTTAAATAACAATTTGTCTTTTTATTGAGCACCTTAACAAATTTTGCCTTAACAGCAAATTTCCAAAGGGGATACAGGCATTCCTTCCTCTGCTGTTTTTTGGTTTTCAGGCTTTCCTCGTGCTTATTAAGCCTGCGGCTCAGGACATTGGTCTTCTTAGGCCAAAGGTCCGGGGGCTTGTATTTCTTGCCCTTATAGAATTTCCTGAGGTTCTCTTTCTGTGTCTGGTTGATGACAGTCAGAACTCGGGCAACAGATTTTCGGATGACTCGGATCTTAGAAAGCTTGGATGCAACTCCTCCAGTGACCTTGGCCATTCTCAATTGGGAAAGTTCCACCTTTAAATCATCTAACTGTTGGAGTAGCTCCTCCTTTTTCTTCCCAGGAAGATCCCTGGCCTTGATTTTTGCCATGATCACAGAACAGCCACACTGCCATCGGCTCTGAGGGGCTCTGCAACTTATAGTCTTAAAGTGTTGCCTAAAGCAGTGAGTGGTTGGTTAAGTGACTAGCTCAGGGTCATACAGCCTAAATATGAGTCAGAAACACACCTAAATTCAGGTCTTTCTGCCTTCAAGGCCATTCTTCTACCTCTCTATTCACCATACCACACTGATTCTCAAGCTTACACACTAACAATACATGAGATATAGAATAGTCTATTTTTTTTTCCTCAGAAGTATGCAGAACATAGAAAGGACTAATAGGAGCACCACAACATACAAGATAGCCTTCCTCTATCCATGAATGCCCCTTCCTACAGGGGAAGTTCACCAGCCTTAGCTTGAGGGATAGAAAATAACTACAAGAGTATTCTCTGTCCTTGAGGGATTGCCTTTATTTGTAGGTTTGTTTCAGGCACTACCACTTTATCCATCTGTCCTGCCTTTCCCATATTAAATCATGTTTCCGAATCCATAGATCATGTCAAATCTAGTGTACATACCCAGTGTGTCAGACACCTACTGGGAATTAAATAGACTAAAAATGAAGGGAGGAAGCGTAAATCTAGTGTCTGAAGTAAAGTTTACTAAAAATTTAGAATATGTGTAGGCTTTGCTCTCTTTAGGGGCCAACAGGGGTTCTGCTGAGAAATGGATGCTCTTGGGATAAAATGCTCAGGACACTGACTTTCTGTAACTCAACCCTGGAGCACTTAGTACTTAAGGGGAAAAAATCATTAACAATAAGGAAAAACAGATTTTTGAAGCAATATCCTGTATTTCATTACCCTTTCATTTATGCAACATGAGAACGGAAACCACGATGTAAATATAGTGCTCTGGGGAGGGTGTATCACAGTTTCTAGGCACATTGAGACAGATCTTTTGGGAGCAGGGATGGCCAAGTTTATATCAAAACTTGCTATTAAATGATAGGTTCTCCATATCTATAAAGGATGTTCCTCATTGTCTTTGAAAATGGTAGCTTGCAAATTGGCAAAGATGATGACAAAAAAAAAGTAAATGGTGAAGGGGGTATGGGATGGAAAGTATACAAATACAAGGGAATTTGAACTGGTACAAAGAATCTGAAAGACAATTTGGAATTATGTAAAAACAAACAAACAAACAACTGATGAAAATGTTCATAACTTTTGACTCAGAAATCCCAATTCATATACCCCAATTGAAAGAAAAATTCCAAATCTACCAGAATATTTGTAGTAGCACTTTTCATGGCAGCAAAGAATTGTAAACAAAGCAGGTGCTCATTAATTGGAGAATGGCTAAGTGAACTGTAGTACATGAATAACATGCAACATTACTATGCCACAAGAAATAGTAAATATGAAGAATTCATAGAAATAAGAGAAGATGTATAGGATCCAATGTAGATTGAAGTATGCAGAATCAGGAGAGCAACATGCACTATGTCTACAGCAACATAAATGTAAAGAAGAACAACAAAACAAAGGTGAATACTACATAATTAAAATGACCACGTTTGGTCCCTGCTTTGAAGATGTGGGGGGATTCAAGTGTGAAGATTTGCATATGTTGTCAAACATGGTTGATATGAGTTTTTTTTGCTGAACTGTTTGTTTTATTTCTATTTCTTTTTCTTTTTATTATTTGTTATAAAGGCTGGTTGAGGGAGCAGAGGAAGAATATATTCACAAATGAAAGTCATATAAAAACAAAAGATACCAACAAAAATTTTTAAATGTTGGCTCTGCAACTTTTTTTTTGCTTAAAAAGCTTTTAAAAAGAACATACTTCTAGATATATCACCTTTGCTAGGAATGAGCACAGACAGATGGGTTATAAAGTCACTTCTGGTAGTTAGCTTCATTAATGAGCACATTTCTATTGTTTGCTATTTTTTTTCTGATCCAAAAAAGCAAGAACAAAAACGCAGAACTCCCTTACCTGTGTCTGCTTGGGACCAATGTCCATTTTCCCAAGTAAACTGTTTAAAAAATCTATAACACTTGTCCAGGGGTAAATACTGTTAGAACCATCCAGCACTATGACAATGTCCAGTTGGGTACTGCATCCTACAATACAGAGAGGCAAATTGGCAACCATGGACTCTGCAGTTACCCTCTTTTTGTAGACAATTGAAATGCCTTCTGAAAGGCTCATTAAAAAATCAGTTCTCAACCATTATGAAATATCTGGTAGTGATCAATAAAATTACTTTTGGTATCTCATCAGTGAGAAACATCTCTACTCAACCTCTCTTCATGTTGTAGAACTGCTCTCATTGAAAAGTCTTCAATGAGTGTCTTAAATGACAGTTGTGAATTTCTTTTTACTTTTTGTCTTTGAATATGTGGTTTCTTTATCTAAAGAGATTTCTGTTGTTGGAATAAAAGTGGCTTGACATTTTTCCAATGGGGTGCTTCATGCCTTTCTAAAAATTGCTTACACTAAGATCAATTCTCCAAATGGCATCAACTTTTGGTTTTATACCAGCAAAGCAAACATTGACCTAAATTGGAAATGCTGGTAGCTGAGATAAATGCTTCATGCTTTTGGCATGCCTCCGTGTATATATTTCCTCATTCATTGCTGACTACTTTTCAAACACACAAAAATATTCCAAGGGCATGCATACCTTGAACAGATGGTGCAATGGAGTTCACAACCTGAAATTTGGAATCAACATCTGAACAGATGCCAGTTGTATAATGTGAATGTCCACATCTGTAAGCATACAAAGGCCCACAAGCCTTGAAAAGAAAGAAAGAATTAAAAACCCTGAAGATTTACGATGATCACTTTCCTAAGATCGTTAAAAAATATTGCTCTTTCCTTTCTTACCAGAAACCCGCCTTTTGGGTTAGTGACTAAAGTAGATCCAAACGTCATGTTCTCCTTTACTTCCGTGACATTCGGAATTGACGTATAAACTAAAAATAGAAGAAAAATGTAAATTGGTAAAAACAGAATGCAATGTCTGTGAATTGAAATACTCTAGTCCTTACATTGGGAGGTGGGAGGGGGTAGGGGTGGCAACCAAATAATCTTCAAATTTTTGATAGAAATAAAATGAAGCAGTTAAAGTTGAAAAAAACTGGCTTAAATCCCAGAATCTTTGTCTGGGTCACTGTCTCAAATAGTTTTATTGAACTGAAAAAAAAGTGCAGAAATAGCAAGGCAATGAGAGTGTGAGACTGCTGCATCTCACACAGTTTTGCTAATAGAAACAGATAAAATATTCGGCTTCATATGAAATTTATATATATAAAGTAGCTTTGTATGTTTCACTACATGATCAGGAATGTGCCAAGAATTTCTAACAAGATAAGTGCTAAAATTGGATGGGAAACCAGAATGGGAAACTTAAATGCAAATTCTTTATCTCTAGGCAATATCTTGGTGAATACAGTTGGGCTTACTAAGAAAAATGTGGGACAGGATTAGAGCAGCAGTTATTCCAGTGAAAAAAGTGCAATGATTAGGACATATTTAAGTATTTTGGTCTCAAGTTGGTTCCAGAATATCAGACCACTTATGAACAGACTAATAAGACTTCAGCCATCAGAGTAGAGACACAACTTTCCTTGGGCATGAACTATACCAGTTCCCATCCTAGTGACACATAGGTGATTAGGATTTGGAAGCAGATGCTGATGTATGGAGCTGGGACATCCTTGTTGCCAGCTGTCAGCCTGACATTTTTTCGGTGGTCTGATATCCCAACAAGAGGCTGGGATTCCTGGATGGTTTGTTTCTTAACCTAGGAAACTTAGATGCTTTCCTAATCCAAAGGGTTAGGTTTCCCCTGAGATTGTTCTAAACAACCAGTCTGTTTTAGCCTTCAATTAATCCTAGAATGGCCCTGAACTCCCAGAGACCCTTGGGCTTGGGGATGACCTAGGGTCAGACAAGATCCCATAGGACCATGTCACACTGGAGACAGCTACTCTTGGCCCTTCCCACTACTGGGGAAAAGTAGCATTTTTCATTGTGCTTATTGCGTCACTGAATAATTCCAATTTGATGTTCCACTCCCCCAACGTTTCAGAGGAAATTCTATTTGGAGACTTCTTCAAACCTCAGTGAACCAAAAGATTCTATTTCAGTATCTGTAGTGCATCTCCTTTTAGTAGCTGTCAGTGAACGTTACTCTTATGTTTAGTACACATTATGAGACTGCTTGAAATTGCTAAGTGCTACAAAGATGTATATATGTAATATATACATACATATATGTGTCAATGTATATGCATATGTATGTATGTGTCGGCCAATAAGTATTTGTTAAGCACCTACTATGTGCCAGGCACTATGCTAAGTGCTGAGGATACAAACAAAGGCAAAAAGCCAATCCCTCCTCTCAAGGGGCTCACAGCCTACAGGAGGAGACAACATGAAAACAACTATGCACAAATAAGATATGTTCAGGATAATATAGAGATAATCACTAGACAGAAGGCACTGTAGTAAGGGGGAATCAGGAAACGCTTCTAGTAGAAAGCAGAATTTTGTGGTTGTTGTTGTTGTTGCTAGCCTTAATCACTGAAAGGGCCTTGCCTCAGAAGGCAGGATTTTAGCTACGACGTGAAGGAAGCCAGGCAATCTAGAAGGTGGAGATGAGGGCAGAGAGCATTCCAGGCATAGGGGCTGGTCAGTGAAAATATACAGAGTCTGGAGATGGAGTGTCTTGTTCAAGGAACAGCCAGGAGGCCAGTATCACTTGATTATAGAATATATAGGTAGGTAGGGGGAAGGAGAAATAAGGGGCAAGAAGACCAGAAAGGTAGGGGTGGGGAAGGTTACAAAGGGCTTTGAATAACAAACAGAGGATTGCATATTTGATCCTGGAGGTGTAATGTATATATATATATATATGCACATATGTGTTTTTGTCATTGTTTGTTTGTTAATATAAAATATGAAAAAATTTAAACTGTGGGTAGATCATTTATTGAACTGGTCCCCTTCCTTTCCTAAACGTGGGTTCCACTAAATAATTTTTGCTTTCAGTGGGAGAACAGGAACTGGTTTGGGGAGGCTATTTCATACTACTTCCAAAAACAACTGAATGAAAAAGGAAATTACAGCTGTCCCTATACTACTAGTACATTGTATTAAAATTCCCAGGTAGTCCCAACTTGTTTAAATTCTACAGCACAAATACATATGTGAAGCAATGGAGTCAGGATCAAGGACTTAAAAATGTCCTTCTACTCTCAGAATTTGATCTCTTTAGACCTAAAAATTACTCTCTTTGTAAGTGTTCTGGATTCATTTGCTGAGTGCCTCGAATGCATTGTGAGGAATAGAATTCACTCTTTTACCTTACCTGGGAGATCCAATTTTATGCATGGCAATGACTCTCCTCGCCCTACTGGACACTTATAAACATCACCAGTTCTGTTCTTGGGTTGACCAACCAGTGGGGAACCAATAAGCACCCTGAAGATTAAATAATACGAGTCAGTATTTTAAGTAATAAAGAGTCCTTTATTTTAGTTAGTTCATCTCTAATCCTAAGAATATTAACAACAACCAAATTGTTTCCCACAGACAAGTTCAATCAATGGTCAGTGTTGTAAAGGCATCTGATTAAGGCAGAAAGTATTCTCTCAAATGACAAATGACTTAAAATATCACCGACACAAAAAACTCACCCCAAACTTCCACATACATCAAAAGATAAATGACAAAAAATGTAGAAAAATAAATAAAAACCACATTTTTTGCCCTATGTTAAGAGTTAGTATACTTTTTATTTTCACTCCCAATCTTCAGCCAGATGGTGTTTTTAAATTCTCCAGAGTCTCAAGTACAAATACTAAACAAGGAACTATAGGAAGCATGACAATGTACTTCGTGCTTGGGATTCATAGTATTTATGAATAGGCTCTGCACCCGTGGAATTTAAAATTTCATGGGTAAAGCAAGAGATAGAAATAATGTGACTAATATAAATGTATGATTGGTGATGGCTTACTTTTCTTCACTTGAAAATTAGATGTTTATATTCTTTGACAATTTATCTATTAGGTAATTTCTCTTTCTCCGATATATTTGTATCAGCTTCCTGTATATTTTGAATGTCAGGACTTTACCAGAGAAATTTGCTGCAAAGGTTTTTCCCAGTTAACTGTCTCTTTTCTTATTCTAACTGAAATTAATTTTGCTGCTAGCAAAGCTTTTTTGTTGTTTTATGTTTTGTAACTGAAACTCTCCATTTATTTTTTTTATGAATACTTCTGTCTTATTTGATTAAGAATTCTCCCCCTAGCCAGAGTTGTGAAAGGCATCCCTTTCCACTCACTTCTAATTTGCTTATGATATGACCTTTTCTATTTAGGTCATGTATTCATTTCATTAAAAAAATGAAGTTAGGATGAATAGCTAGATTTAAGGTTACTGTGGTATATTGTGTGGATATGTTGGCCTACATCTGATTTCTGATGGTCTACTTTCCAGTTTTCCCAGCAGTTTTTGTTGAAGAAGTACCCATCCTAACAGTGTACTTGGGTTAGCTGACATTATACTGCAGTGTTTGGTTGCTTCCAGATCTTGTTTACCTAATTGTTCAGTTGATCAACTTTTCCCATTTTTAGACTGATACTAAAGAGTTTTAATGATCTCTGCATTATAGCATAATGTGAGCTCTTACACTATTAGGTTCTATTCCTTCTTTTTTCTTTATTTCCCTTGATATTCCTGAACATTTTTTTTGGTATATATGAATTTCGTTATTATTGTTTCTAGTCTTATAAATAACCCCTTGGTAGTTTAATTTTAAGGCACTAAATCTGCAAATTAATTTAGGGAATATAGTCATTTTTATTTGTAAGGAAGAAGACTGTCCTTGTGTGTGACTCAAAAGGAGGCAGAATAGACATCTTTAGACTTTTCTTCCCTCATTCTTCTCCAAACGAGACTTTTCATTCAGGAGGTTGGGGCCAAAGGCTACTGTGCTCTCCTCAGAGAGATGGAGTACTGCCACATGTGTGTATGTATATACATGTGTGTATATTGTATGTGTGTATACACACACTCTCTTAAATTCTGATCTTCTAGGGGATATGATCCGGTTCCATCTAAATTCTGATAACTTTGTCATTTTTGCAGGGTAGCAGAACGCCAGGTGCTATATCCAGGGCTCGACCTCTTTTCTCACCTAATGCCAGTCCAGAATGAACATATGTAACAAATAGCAAAGAAACTCATTTATCAAAATCATAGCAAAACAGAAATCAGAGAATTTATATATAGAACCTATAGATGAGATAATAGTGAAGGCATTCTCTCCCTGGAAGTGAGATAACTCAGTGAAACCAAGATAATACATAGAAAGAAAATATATGGATAGGTTGATGCTATTTTAGGGGCTTATTTTATATCCTGCTATTCTATTGAAGTTAATGTTTCAATTAATTTTTATTTGCATCTCCAGTTCTCAAAGTAAACTATCACATATTTGCAAATTACAATAATTTTGTTTCCTCTTTGCCTATGCTTATTCAGGCTATTCCCTTAATTTGTATTAGCCTAATATCTAGAATTTTTAGAACTATATAAAATAATAATGGTAACAATGAACATCTTTGCTTTATCCCACTTATATTGGAAAGGGCTCTAATGTTTCTTCATTATAGTTAATTCAAGCTCTTGATTTTAGGTAAATATTGTTTACCATATTAGGTTCATTATTCCTATGCTTTCTTATATATATATATTTAATATAAATGAGTGTTCTGTTTTGTGAAAAGCCTTTTCTGAATCTATTGATACAATTATATTCTCATTTTATTATTAATATCATCTATTATGTTATGGTTTTTATCACGTAGAACTAACCTTGCATTCTTGGTGCAAATTCAACTTGATCATATTGAATACTCTTTTAAATATGCTAAATATTGCCTTTTTGCTAATATTTTATTTACTATTTTTGCTTTGACATTCATTAGACCCACAGTTTACTTTATCCCTTCCTAAAATGGGCATCAGAATTATACTTGTCTCATGAAAGGCATTTGGTAGGATGGTTTCTTACTTCATTTTTATTGTTATAGTCTCATACTTATGTTCTAATCTTTTTTTTTTCTTACTTCTAATTTAATGGTTGCCTTGACCTTTTCACAAATTGATTGATTCAACTGTACATGGAGAGCTAATTCTGAAATGACTTCTTTATTATTCCTTGTCTATTAAAATAAAAGTCCTCTTTTTAATGTTTGAGGATCATCATTCCAGCACTATTTGACTTTTTCTGAAGAATATATTTGTATTATACAGGAACAAGTTTTCTGCAAATCTTTGATCTCCTTCATTTCTTGATCCTAAGCCAAATTTTCATATGTCATTTTCACTGTTCTCCCATGCCCACTTTCACATTGAAGTCACCAAGGATTTATGTATATGTGGACATGTTTTGCAGTATCTTGCCAAATCCTTCATAGAATTTCTCTGCTTCATCTACTGTAATAGATTGTTCAAAGTAAGACTGCAATTACCTTCATGCTGCTCTATTTGTTTGTCTTCCTCCTTCCTTCCTCCTTAGCTCACTAAGTATTCTTAAAATGATTTTTCTTATTGATTCGGGAATCATGATGAACACAATTCCACCAATTGAATGAAAAAAATATTAAGCATTTAGCATCTATTAAGTACTAAATTATGATCAACACTTGAGATATGAATAAAAAGTAGGGCTAGCCCCTTCCCTAAAGGAGCTTACATTCTTTGATAGGAAGTCTTTCCCAATCCCTCTTAGTTCTAGTGCCTTCCCTCTTTTATCTCCAACTATTATCTTCAGTCATCTCCAGTTTATCCAGTATATCACTTGTTTGTACATATTCCTTAACAAATTGTCTCCCCCTCCTAAGCTCCTCAAGGGCAGGGACTCTCATTTGTTTTTCTTTGTGTCCTCAGCACTTGGCACAGTGCCAGGCACATAGTAAGTGCTTAACAAATGTTTATTGATTGATTGATATTGACTAACTGACATTCTGATGGGGGGAAACAACACATAAAGAATGGAGGCCACAGAGGGTTATTTTGGCTTGAATTATTGGAATGGTGAATGTATCTATAAGGGAATAGATTGACACAGCTTTTCTGGCAGTAATTCTAGTTTTGACTTCATTATAGTTCCAGAACTGGGGGAGAAGGAGAGAGTAGGGTGAATAGTATGAGAAGATGAGTCAGGAATTAAAGCGAATCATTACTAGAGCCAGCCTAAATATGAAGCCATGTGAAACACTGACAAATTAGGACACTAATTCTTTTATCCCTCTCTCTGAGATGAACCTATAAAGCATTCTTCCATTTAGATGTTCTTTCTTTGTCTTGTTTTCATTTTTAGAAAAAACAAAAATCAATGTAGATGTGTTTCAATTCCTCAGTAAACTGAGACAGATTTAGAGCTGGATGAGATTTTAGAGATCATTGTGTCTAATCCTGCTGTTTTATGGATGAGGAAATCCAGATGTCCATGCGAGCTGGAATTTGAACTCAGTGTACCAACTTTTTGCTGGTTTGGCTATTTTTTTGAGACAATCAGAGTAAAGTGACTTAACCAGGGTGGCACAGCTAGTGTCTGAGGGCAAATTTGAACTCTAGTCCTGACTCCAGGGCCAGTGCTCTTTCCACTGTGCCATCTAGTTGCCCCTCAGTGTATCAGTTTTTTGATGGGCAACAATCTAACACTAATAGTACTAAAAATTAAATGAATTATTTCTAAAAAATCTTAAAACTGAGGTATTCATCCTGCCCTTTCTCACCATTCTCTTATCTTCACTATGGAAGCAGAAGGGCCCCACACATGACTGAGAGTCATTATGTGTCTACATAATTGATTATTGCAGACAAAGAAATTCTCTGGTGGCCGACTTCTTGTGGGGAGCCTCTCTGTACTTAGCTCTTGTACCACAGGCCTATAGTCTGTCACCAGCCTGTAACCAAAGCCTTTCCAACATCATAGAACCTGTCAGAATTTAAGCTTTCCTGCTATAGCTTTTGAGAATTCAAGGTCAGCGTACAACTGAAGTAAGACTTTTGTGGTGCAAAAATCTCTAGTTTGGTTAAAAAAAAATCCTGCCTAAGTACAGGATGTGAGAGAGCAGATTTAATAGCAGTTCAAATGAAAAAGTTTTGGGGATCTTTATTTTACCACAAGTTAATATGGGTAAATAGTGTGGTATGGCTACAAAAAATGGTAGCGCCAGCCTAGAGAGCACCAGTAGAATGATAGTGTATGTATGTATGTATGTATGTATGTATGCATGTGTGTGTTTGTATATGCCTTTACACACATACCTATATATATATATACATATATACACATATACAATATATATTATATAATTTGTATATATGCACTATACACATTATATAATGTATATATAAATGTGTGTGTGTGTGTGTGTGTGTGTGTGTGTGTAGCTCTTAACCTT